CTAAAACTATAAAACTCTTAGAAGAAAACATGGAAGAAAAGCTTCCTGACATTTAATTTTGCAATGCTTTTTTTGGATACAACAAAAGCATAGGCAACAAAAGTAAAAATAAATTAGACATTAAATTTGACAACGTCTGTGCATCAAAGGACACAGGCAACAGAGTGGAAAAGGAACTCATGGAATGAAAGTATTTGCAAATCATCTATCTGATAAGTGGTTAATATCTGAATATATAAAGAACTCCAACAATCCAACAATCAAAAAAAAAAAAAAAAATCCCTGCCAGCTGCTTCAGCACAGGCCTGTAATACCGGCTGCTCATGAGGCTGAGGCAAAAGGATCCTGAGTTCAAAGCCAGTCTCAGCAATTTAGCAAGGCCCTAAGCAACTTAGTGATACCCTGTCTCAAAATAAAATAAAGGCTGGGGATTTGGCTCAGAGATTAAGCACCCCTGGGTTGAGTTACACATACAAACACACACACACAAAAGCCCAGAGTTTTCTAAATGGACAAAGGATTTGAATATTTATCCAAAGATGATATACACACGGCCAATAAACACTTGAAAAGATGCTCTGAACAGAAAAGATAAAGCAAAAGCAAAAGATTTGAAGTATAAGCCCTTTGAATATATGATTTTCACTGACTTATCTTCAAGGAATGCAAGATACTGAATCATTTCTACAGAAATTGTTAAATAACAGAATAATCCTATAAGTAAATTTAAATAGTCTAGCAATGCCTGACACACATTTAGCTCAAAGTAAATGTTTTTTAAATTGTGTCAAAATCAGATATGAAAGGATACATATTTGCTGTCAAGGCAATAGTCCTGAAACTTTGAACTCAACGCGTACAACTCCTAAAAGTGCTTACTTGATTTTCAGCAGCAGGATGGGCTTATGACTTACCTTCAGTAAGATACAAATAGCACAAGCCATGCCTACAGAACCAGATCCAATAATGGTGATCTTCCTCTGGGAGACTGCATCTTCTGCAACTAGATTTTCAATAAGCTGTTCCTTGACAGTTGACATTTCGAGAACCTAACAGAGATAATGCAATTTCATGGAATCAAACTCCCTAAATCCATCCCTTTCACAGTTACGATATCTAAGGAACTACCTGAGAGTATATAAGGAACTACCTCTTGAGTTCGCAGAATGGAAGACACAGGGGTGGAAAGAAACCCAAGAAAAAATTTCCTGGTCAAAGAGTGTGGGGTAAAGCTAGGAACACTCAATGAATAATCAGTGGTAGGGAACGGGGCACCAACACGATTTCTAAACCCTCCTCGTTCCCAGCCACTATTTTCACTCAGCACCAGACGCTCACAAACGCTCTTCTTGGCTCAATTCAGTACAGACGACCCCCAAAGCACAACGCGCCACCTTTAAGAAAGTAAAAAGTGACCCCAGAAAAATACACCAACCACTGTTCAGGTGCGAAGCCCAGCAACCGTTACAGTTGGCCGCCTCGCGCGTCCCTTAACGTCAGCACGCAAGCCCCGCCCCCGGCCGGCCCAAGCGCAGGCGCATCGGCAAGGGGTGGGCGTCCTCGGCGTGAGAAACGTCTCCCAACTATTACCAGGTAACTGAGCTACAGCTGGTGGCGGCCAGACTACTGAAGATAGGCAGCCAGCTGGGGAACTGCCTCCGCCGCGGAGCTCATGGCCTGAACCAGCCTAATTTACTGTTTTCTGAGATGAGAGGACATGCAGAACGATTCTGAGCCCCTGGGATGAAAGGAATTTAAAGTTGGACTTGGGAATTACCATCCCGAAGTTTGAGAAACATACTTTTTGATGGTGCACTCGTCACACCCTTATCCAAGCATTTACTTGCAGTCACTTTATGACATATTGACCTCTGTAGCTTTAGGACCACGTGCTGAAATAAAGTTTGGATTTCTCTTGAGAGAACAGAGGGCATTAATGACATGAAAAGGCCATGTCTAGTTTTCTAAGGGTGCTTTCTAAGGGTTCAACACCAACAATTTATAACTCACAGAAGGGGACACAATTCCTCCATTTTTTTGTCTAGTATTTGCATATGAACCTGTCAATATATAAATGATAATCTATTTTCCATGTAATGATCTGTGGGGTGTGTGTGTAATGTAGTGCAGAACATGCAATAACTCTGCTTAAAACACTTCCTTGGCTTTCCATTATACTTAGAATAACCAAAAAGACCTTTAAGATTTGACCTCCTTCTACCCCTCCAACTTTAAAACACTCACCAAACTCCCTCCAATTAGACTTTGGACAACCTTTTTTGGGGGGTGGGGGTGGGGGGGGGGCTAAGAACATTTTAATGTTCTCTATATCTGGAAAGTTGTTTGCCCATCCTTTGAGGTTAATTCCTCATTTTCAATTTTGGCACACTAAACTGCACTTCCAGCTTTCCTTGACAATTGTGTCAACTACCACAATTTCCAATTTCTCCTGTTTCTCTTATGGCACTTTTTCTCAACCTACTACAAGACCAAAATTAGAAGCTCCCCATAGGTAGCACACAGGAGTGGCATCTGCACATTGGTACCACAACTTGCTTGTGTGCTTCCCCAGCAACCTCAGGGCTGAGGAACACTGCTGACCTAGATGGCCTGCAAATTCAAGCTGTGGTCAGGCCTGGTGGCACAATGCCTGCAATCCCAACATAATAGTATGTTTCAGAACAGCCTGGGCAACTTAACCAGATCCAACTAAAAATAAATAAATAAAATAAAAAATACAAAAATTGCAAAATAGGCTAGAGATGTAGCTCAGTGGCAGAGCACTTGTCTAGCATGCACAAGACTCTGGGTATCACAGACAAAAAAAATCAAGCTGTAGCTAGGCATGCTGGTGCATACCTGTAATCCCAGTAGCTCAGACAAGGAAGGCAGGAGAATCACAAGTTCAAGGCCAACCTCAGCAATTTAGTGAGACTGGGGATTATCTCAGTGGTTAATGCCCCTTGGTTCAATCCCCAGTACCTAAATAAATAAACAAGCTGTATACTTCCCTCAGGCTCCTGGTGGCCAAATGATATATCCCCTTGGTAATCGTGAAGAGAAGTGGCTCTTAATACCTCTCCAAGCTTAATTGACATTTTTATTGCAGTAATGTCAAAATAGTCAAGATTTTATTTTTACTTATTCTTGTATATTGCAACATCTATCATATTATATAGTAGGCACTCAGTAAAGAATCTTGAGAGAATCTATTTTTTTAATATTTAGTTGTAGATGAACACAACATCTTCATTTTTATTTATCTTTATGTGGTGCTGAGGATAGAACCTAGGGCCTCATGCATGTGAGGCAAGCGCTCTACCATTGAGCTATGACCCTAGACTGGAATGTGGCTTTTGAGTTTTTATGGCTATAGGAGGAGAAAAAAAATACGAGGACCATGTGCTGAGCATCTCGTTTTCTTCTCCACTAAAAGCCTGTGTGAGGCGGGGCTAAAACCTGCTTAATCTACTTCCTAATGAAAAAAAAAAAAAAAGAAGGTCTCCTTGTAGAGTTGGCCTATTCCTTGCTGGGGCAGGAAGGTACTTGGTGAACCCAGAGCACTTATTGTTGCAGAAAATGATGAAACTTTACAAGATTCATGAAAGATTGAGTAAGTCTATTTCACTTATTTTTCAATCATGTTCATATTGTCTAATTTATTGTATCAAATATGACATTAAAATATGGACTTTTTAAAAATAAAAATGAGGGGCTGGGATTGTAGTCCAGTGGTAGAGTACTTGTCTAGCATGTGAGGTAATGAATTTGATTCTCAGAACCACATATAAATAAATGAATAAAATAAAGGTCCATCAACATCTAAACAATTTTTTAAAAATAAAACTGAAGTTACCTCAAGGATCACAAAGCCCATGGAAATATTCTGGTTTCTTTTGGGGGTAATTAAATCCAAAGAATTGTACACTTTTTTAAATAATTTCTTTTAGTTGTCAGTGGACCTTCATTTTATTTAGATGTGGGGCTGAGAATCGAACCCAGTGCCTCACACATGCTAAGCAAGCACTCCACCACTGAGCCACAACCCCAGCCCAAGAGTTGTACATTTTAAGAGCAAATTTTGGGCAGGCAGGGTTGTAGCTCAGTGGCAGAGCACTTGTATAGCATGTGTGAGGCACTGGGTTTGATCCTCAGCACCACCTAAAAATCAATAAATAAAATAAAGGTAATTGTGTCTATCTACAACTAATAAAAAAATTTTAAAGTACATTTTATGGTATATAAATTTTATCTTAGCAAGGCTGCATTTAAAGTGTACAGGATAGCAAATCCAATTAAAATAGCACTGTCAAGACTACCTTGACCAAGCTTGTCATTTTGTATTTGAGAGAAAAAAAGCCATAATTTTCTTTTAACTAGCCCTGAAGAAGAAAACTTTGGGGAATAAAAGCCTGAGTCAGAAATGATGGCAATATTCAGGCCTGAATAAGGGTGATTTACAAAACTATTTTGAGGGAAAATTTAATAAGACATTTGAGTAGAGAATCACCAAGACTACTTGATTTAATAACAAATATATAATACCTTGGGCTTAATATAGTGGAACTATAGATTATAATGGAAATGGTAACAAACTAACACAATCTAATTATACCCTTAACATAAATTCATATTAAACTCAAGTCTACTCAGTAGTAAATAGTACCCCATAAAATAAAATTATTGCAGGGTTGTCCATGAAGAGCCTATTACTTCCGAGTAATATAACAACAACAAAAAAAAAAATGGCACCTTTATGACTTTATATCTTAAATTGGTGAGGAGTGGTAGCATATGCCTATAATCCCAGCAACTTGGGAGACCGAGGCAGGAGGATCCAAAGTTCAAGACCAGCCTCAGCAACTCAACAAAACCCTGTCTCAAAATAAAAATAAGGGTTAGGGATGTAGCTCAGTTGATACAGTGCTTGCCCCACATGCACAGGCCCTGGGTTCAATCCCCAGCACCACAAAAAAAATAAAAAGAATTTAATAGAATAGTCACTGTTCAAGGTTTATTTGATATTTCAGTTGGTATGACACTTGGATAGCTGGTTGCAATGTTCATTTGTAGATCTTTCTTTTACATTATATGGAAATGTACACTACAGATACATATAATACACAAAATAAAATCCTTTAGAACAGTTATACATAAGACATGTGATATTGGATTTAACATTGGATCCCAGGATGTGACTGAATGAAAAAAAAAAAAAAAAAAAAAACAAAGTTGGACTAGGCATGTTTGATGAAGGTATATCACACAACATGCACAATGTTGTGCAACATTGGCAGTGGTATCTCAGAGATGGTGGAACTATTTTACACTAGTTTAGGACTACACAAGTTAAGTACTATCCAGCATCAGGATATCTGTAGGGTTTTATATGCCATTCCTATTTCTAACTTTAAAAAATTGATGTTTTTCCCAGGCCATCTGCTTTAATCTCAGAACAGATAAAAAGGACAACATGCACACCTCCAACTAAAATCCTGTTGTATCCTAGACAATGAAGTGGTATGACATTAGAAGCCTTTAAAACTGCAGCTCTTTTTGGATTCCCCAAAGTGTATCTGCACTCTTCTTCAAACGTGCCTCTTCCTCAGGAGTCAAATTCACCTTCACAACATCTGAGATTCCATTTTGTCCCAAGATGCAAGGCACACTTAGAAAAACATCATCCTTTATTCCATAGAGACCCTGAAAACAAAAAGAAAATAATTTACATTTTATCTATACAATCTGAGGTTTCCCAAGACTTACATTCTTTGCCATTATGAAGCTTATTTGACTTAATAAACAGAAATTTATTTCCAGATGTTCACTTATATAATCAAGAGTGTAAAAGAAAACCACTAAAAACACCAACAACATATATATATATATATATATATATATATATATATATATATATATATATATATATATATATATAAAGAAAAACTATTATTATACACAGTACTTCCCAATATTTATTATGCAACATTGTGGTAAGTAACAGTGATTTCTATTTTTCCCAATGGCAAAATCTGTCTCCTATAGACTTCTATCTATTTAAACATAACAAGTTTTTCAGTCAAGTTATCAAGTATATATGTGTGGATATTTATCCTACATATCAATCATTTATTTCCAAAGTTCTGAGTGCATTAAGTTATTTCACTTCAGTGAACAGGACTTCCATTAACCTAACTGCTTTCTCAGAAGAATCTTTTCTAAAAAACCAGGAAATAGGGCTGGGGATATAGCTCAGTGGTAGGGGGCTTTCCTCACAACCACAACAGCAACAGAAACAAAAGCAAATCAGAAATAAGTATTCAAATACAACGTATCACTACATGGACCTACCTTAATCATGGTGGAAATTGGATGCACCCGTCTAAGATTCTTCATTATACTTTCTGCCAAATCTGCCACAGACAGTCCAATGGCCCAGGATGTATAGCCTTTTAGTTTGATCACCTCATAAGCGCTACAGAATAGGGAAGGGTAAGGAAGAATAGGGAAGGGCAGAAAAAAACAGGAGGAAGAAACAAAGGAAAACAAAGGTTTCACTGAACACATGCTTTATAGTAAATAATGCCAAAAAGTTGCATTATACTTCTAAGGGTAACCCTTGCATATACACCAGAACATCACTGAACAGGAATGTTCACAACAATACTATTAGGAATGGCAAAAAAAAAAAAAAGTAACAAGTACACTGCCCTCCAACAGAATGACACAAAGGAATATCACATAACTGTCATAACTAATCAACTATAGCTACCAACATAGTGGTAAACTGGTGATTATTAGAAATATTGAGCCAGGAATAGTAGCGTACATGTGTAATCCAAGCAACTCGGGAATTTTAGAGTTGGAAGTTAAAGGCCAGCCAACAACTTAGCAAGACCTTGTCGCAAAAAATAAAAAGGGCTGGGGTTGGATGTAGCTCAGAAGTAGAGCATCCTTGGGTTCAATCCCTAGTACCAAGGGGGGTTGTGTGGGATGAAGAAATGTAGTACTAAGAGTGGTGGTAGCAAAGAAAAGAAAAAAAGAAGTGTACTACTGGATTTTAAAAAGTAAATCCAGGGCCGAGGAATGGTGGCACATGCTTGTAATCCAGTGACTCAGGAAGTCGAGGCAGGAGGATAGCAAGTTGGAGGTCAATTTAGCAAGATCCTGTCTCAAAATAAAAAAAAATGGGCTGAAGATGTAGCTCAGTGATAAAGAATCCCTGGGTTCATTCCCCATTGCTGGAAAAAATAAAAAATAAAAAAGAGAACACCCAGGGGCAGCTGAGGAAGTAGCTCAGTGGTAAAATGTTTGCCTAGCATGCTCAAAGACAAGGATTCAATTGCCAGCATTTCAAATGAAAATGGTAAATATAGAAAGATTAAAAGATTGCACACAGCATGTTGATCATAAGATTATTTCAATTGGGAGCGACAGGGAGATAGTTGAATAGGAAGTGGGGCAAAAATTCACTTCCAGTATTTTCAAACACCAGCAGACTAGCAATTCTGACCCAAGGAATATTATACCAGCTGATAGCTAATGTTAAAGTCTCTTGGCTGGGTGGTAGGTTCACAGGTTTTATTTAACTAAACAAATACATATGAGAGAGCCTTGCTAGACCAATTATGAAAATATAAGGAGCTCTAGTGGCACAAACAGCACATAGTACTTGTATAAAAATATATCCTGAACCAAGGACTAATTGATAGACCTAAGGTTCACACATAACCACAGTTTACAAGTAAATAATGCCAAGTAGAAAACTTCCCTATTTCAACAATTTGTTAGTAAATACTTGTTAGTGTACCATGTTTCTAGCATATCTAGACCTGGACATATAACTTTATTACCATCTGAATAAAGAAGCTATGTGTGTGTGTGTGTGTGTTTTATCCTGGGGATGGAACCCAGGGCCTTGCACATGCTAGGCAAATGCTCTACCTCTGAGCTATATCCCCAGTTCTTTTTTCTATTTTATTTTGAGACAGGATTTTGCTAAATTACCCAGACTACCCTCAATTTTGCCATTCTTCTGCCTCAGCCTCCTGATATATGTGTGTGCCACCACACCCAGATGCTAACTATGTTTATAATCTCAAAGAGTATAATAAGAACTTGGGCTGGGTGTGGTGGCCCAGGCCTGTAATCCCAGCAGCTCAGGAGGCTGAGGCAGGAGGATCGCAAATTCAAAGCCAGCCTCAGCAATGGCAAGGCACTAAGCAATTCAATGAGACCCTTCTCTAAATAAAATGCAAAATATGGCTGGGGATATGACTCAGTGGCCAAGTGCCCCTGAGTTCAATCCCTGGTACCAAAAAAAATAAACTTGGATTTTAAAGGTTTTTCCTGCCAGGTACAGTGGCACATTACTGTAATCCCAGCTACTCAGGAGCTAAGGCAGAAGGATCACAAGTTTGAGGCCAGTCTAGGTGACTTGGAGAGACCTGATCTCAAAAAAAGTCAGGAAGGTAGTGCACCCTTGTAATCCCAGGATTTAGGAGACTAAGTGAGGCAGAGGATCACAACATCAAAGCCAGCCTTAGTAAGGCCCTAAGCAATTTAGCAACACTCTGTATCAAAAGGGCGGGTGGGGATATAACTCAGTTGGTAGAGTGTTGCTTGCCTTGCATGCACAAGGCCCTGGGTTCAATCACCAGCAACACACACACACACTTAGAATTCAAAGTGAGCCTCCAGCCTCAGCAATTTAGAAAAACCCTGAGCAACTCAGTGAGACTTTATTTCTGCATAAAATACAAAAAGGGCTGGGGTTGTGGCTCAGTGATAGAGTGCTTGTCTACCATGTGTGAGGCCCTGGGTTTGATTCTCAGCACCACATGTAAATAAATAAAATAAAGGTCCATTGACAACTAAAAAAATATTAAATGAAAAAAAATTTTAAAAAGGAAATGGGCTGGGGATGTGGTTCAGTCAGTGACTGAGCATCCTTGGTTCAATCCCCAGTACCAAAAAGATTAAAAAATAAAAAGGGCTGTGGATGTAGCACGGTCTTGGAGCACCCTGGGTTTAATCCCCAGTACCACCAAAAAAAAAAAAAAAAAAAAAGTTATTTCTAAGTGAATAAATCATATATGTTGAAGTAAAGACTCATATCCCAGTAGGGCAGACAAACTTATTTGTTGAATTTTAATAGTTTAAAATACAAGCAAAGATTTATCAGATTACAGAGAATTATGGCATTTTAAAAAAGATTTTAGCATTAAAAAATACCTGTAATTTTTAATATTTTTATCTGTTTATGGGTGTTTTATTTCTCTGGGATCCATTATATGAAATTGCTGGGTTGTATAAAAAACCCATTTTTAATTTTAACCAACTGTTTTCCAGAAATGGTGGCACCATTTTACATTTCTACCAACAATGTATGAAGAACCCAATATCTGCTCTGCATAATCTTGCCAGCATTTGGTACTCTATTTTTTATTTTAGCTATTCTTTTTGTTGTTTTTACCTTTGTCTTTCTACTATGATCTTTAACAAAGCTTAAGAAAACAAGGGTTGCCAGGCTCCCACATGCCTCTGATCCCAGCTATGCCAAGGCAGAAGACCATGGCAAGTTTGAGACCAGCCTGAACCATTTCAAAATAAAAAAGGAATTAAAAAGTGACTGGGATTTAGCTCAGCAGTAGAGCACTTGTTTAGCATGTGCAAGGCCCTGGGTATTCCTAGTACCAGTGGGGAGAAAAAAAAGAAAAGGAAACAAGTTATCTCAAAGTATTCAGACGTAAACACTATTAAAATAGTAGGGCCTGGTGGCATACACCTGAAAGGGCTAAGGAAAATATTAAAGATCTTCCCTGTCCACGTGCCTGCCAGGACCTTCACACATCCCTGATGGGACATCTAAAGAATGCTGACTTCCTAGTGGGTTTGGCTGGCTCACTCAGACACTCACTTATCTCAAGGCTACCACTCCCTCCCTTTGAGATCTGGCCAGTACTAGTGGGGATGAAGTGTCCTTGAGGGGATGGGTAATTGTTAGAATGAAGCTTTCTTTGTTCTAATTTGTATTTAAGAAGCCCCACTGGGGTCTCACCACTGGAGAGGATGCTCTGCTGGGGACTTCCTAGTCAGGAACCTGAAAAGCTGCCCAGGAACTCTCCTGTTCCATGACTTCAGGTGTCAGTGTTTCCCACATGCCGGTGATAATCTTTTTCTCTTGCCTATCACTTTTTCTTTCACTTCCGTATTATTACTAAAATAAATGCCATATTGTATAAAGAGTATATTTTTATTGTCTTTTGGATCTGACCTGCCAAATTCATCATCTGCACACATAGGGTAGCACTTTAATGTTACAACCTGTAATTCCATTAACTTGGGAGGCTGAGGCAGGAGGACTGCAAGTTCAAGGCCAGATTATTTTAGTGAAATCCTGTCTCAAAAAAATTTTTAAAGGGGTAGGGGATATTGCTCAGTGGTATAGTACCCCTGGGTTCAATCTCTAGTATCACAAAAAAATTAAATCTTTTATATAAAGATAATAAATTTTAACCTCCTATATTGCCAGATTATGAAACTTATTACCTGTCAACCACCTGCTTATGAACCTCTTTCCAATGTTCCTTATCTGCATCAGTGCCTAAATCTGGGTGCAGATTCTTCAAGGAGACACCAGCAACATTCACTCCACTCCACACAGGTACTAAAAGAAATTGTACAGCACAATTATTTTTATGCATCAAGATACTATTTTTAATTCTCCTATCTGCTGAAGGGGATTACAACAAATGGTCAAAAACCAATGTCCTTACTATTAGATTTTCATTTATTTAGATTATATAACAAGAATTGTATATTTCAACCCATTTCCCTCATTTGTTGGAATGTTTAGTTCATATATTTGAAATATAAAGATGGCACACAAACATAAGGGAAATTTTATTGGCATAAGGAACTCAGAACTCTGCACAGTACCAAAATACTTCTTGAACTCCACTTGGGGTGGCTGACCTTTTCAGGGATAAGCAGTTCAAGTCAAGTATAAATGACTAAAGTTATCATAAGAACTATGGTTTTCACATGTTGGGGGTTATAGGATGTACAAGGATAAAGTGTGTGATAAGCATACATGAGGACCTAGGTTCGATTCTGAAGAAATAACAAGTCTAGTTATTTACTTCCATAGAAGTAAAATTTCATTCTGTTCTCCTGCCATAAAATGTCATATAAAATGGCTAAAATCTTAATTCTTAGCATATAATTATATAAATGGTAGATTCCAGGAAACCAGTCTATCCTGATTAAGGGATACTTGACTTAGGGTCTAATTTAATAATAAAAATACTTGTATTTTTTAATGCAATCTTTTTGTAAATAAAAGCAGAAAATAACTCATGCTTACCACTAGAGTCTCCATGCTCCCCAAGGACCCACCCATGACAGCTTAATGGGTGAACTCCCAGCCTTTCCCCCATCAGGTAACGGAATCGTGCTGAATCCAGATTGCAACCACTTCCAATAACACGGTTTTTGGGAAAGCCACTTATCTTCCAAGCCACATAGGTCAAGATATCCACTGTGAAGACAACATTCAGGCAAAGACATTAGGTAATTCATTAGATAATGATTAGCCACTACAGATATATGGTTCTATATGGATCTTGATACTGCTCATGACTAATTGATATTTTTGTTAATATTTTTAAGTCTCTGTACTACATATCAAGTCTACCAAGCAGTCAAGTATTATTTTATGAGAATAAACTGCACCAATAAAGAGAATACAATTATTCATAAACTTATTCCATATATAAGATCTTGGGTAAATAACTGATTTTATGTTCCAATTATGTTCAGAGGCATTCGGTCCCTTTAATGTTTTATCCCTTTAATGTTTTATAATAACTATTTTACAAAAACAATCTCAGGAGGGAAATGCAACAAGAAATAAATGAATGTATACATGCATATAGATTATAACATACTATCAATTTTACTATAGCTCATGTTTTATGCTGTTAAGTCTCACCTGGATTGGAAACAACAAGCAACTTGCAATGTGGGCTGTATTTTACAACATTGGGAATGATGAACTTGAAGATGTTCACATTACGCTGGACCAAATTAAGACGGCTTTCTCCCTCTTGCTGACGTGCCCCAGCTGTGATAATGACGAGCTTGGAGTTTGCAGTCACATTATAGTCTAAAAAACGAAACAACCATCAGATGAATACCTTTAAGAGAACTGTTAACTAGCCAGCAAAATTTGTTCCTCTTTTTAGTACTGAGGATCAAACCCAGGGCCTCACACACATGTAGCAACCACACTGCTGCTGAACTGCACCCCAAGTCCCTCCCTTTTTCTTCAGGTTGGAGACTGGGTCTCCCCAAATTGCCCTTACAGGCCTTAAACTTTTATTTCTCCTGCCTCAGCCTGTAGAATCGCTGAGATCACAGTATTATCACTACACCTGGCTTCTGTAATTTTATGCAGGTTTTATATATATGGCAGATAAATGCCCCCACTGCCTCCTAGACAGTTCCCTTTGTTTTCAGGTTTTCTATTTTTTATGTCAGATGGGTAATGCACTGATATTCTAACAACGGTTAGAGAAAGGCATATTTCACCCAACACAAAACCCAATCATCACACTTATGAACTAAAAATGACCAGTGTATACCTTCCTTATAGTGTAGTTTTAGTTACATTATAACTTGATATAACTATGACTGAGAGAAACAGGAAGAAATCAAGTTTATGATTCTCATATATCAACTTCTCAGATATCCCCAATTCTTCCCCTTCGTTCAATGTTCTTATTCTTCATTGCTCCTAAGTTTACTTAAATACTTGATTACTAACAAAGGCAGAGATGCCTTTACACTTAACAAACATATTTTGCTTCTAGATACCCGAAGGCATAAGATGATTAACTCTAGGAGTTGCTAAGGACTTTCAAGTACCAAAAGACACTATTTGGGCCCAAATCCCATTTCCCAGGCTGGTGCTAGTTAAGTGTGAAAGGGTCAAGTCAAAAATATCTGAACAGGCTCATTTATTCTGAACTCAACCTTGTGTTACTGTGTGAAAGAAAGTGGGGGAATAAGAACACTTAAATATCTGATTGCTGGAGTTGTAGCTCAGTGATAGAGTACTTGCCAAGCATATGCAAGGCCTAGGTTAAATGCTCCAACATCACAAAAGAAAAAAAGTATTTAAAGCAATGTGGTTAAATATGCACCTAAAGACTGAAACTTTATTCATTACATTCTAGTTCAGATGGTTTCCACATAATACACTAATTGGATTTCCATTTTAAACCATTTAATATAGATTGAACTTTGATACCCATAGGTACCAATGTAAATATATTTTAAGACTCCCCTGTATGAAAAAGAAAAGCTTCTAAGAGCTAGGACTTTGAGATGAATAAAAAAAATTACATCTGCTTTTTTCTGATTTATCCAAGGTTGCCTGCTCTTGAAGACAACTGTTAAGAGGGACTGCAGCCATGCAACCAAAACCCTCAACAAAGGCATCTCCAAGTTCCCTGTGATGGCTGCAGATGCCGAATCCCTAGAGATCACCCTGGACATCTTGCTACTATTATGAAGACAAGTATATGCCCTGTATGTTTGTGTGCTCCAAGTGGGCCCTAAGGCGGGCCTGTGAGGTCTCCAGGCTTATCATTGTGTGTTCTGTCACCATCAAAGAAGGCTCTCAACTGAAGTTGCAAATCCAGTCCATTCAGCAGTCTATTGAAAGTCTCTTAGTCTAAGCCTGTGGCTTCTGCCCTGCCCTCCCCACCAACCTCTCCACCCCCAGGTTTTGTGTCATATTGTCTATCTTAGCATGTAGTCAAAGGCTTTCTATTATAAAATATTGTACAAAAAGAAAGTTTACATCTAATGTGGACTATAATATAAAACTTGTTGAAATCAACCTTTGCCAGAGACAATTTTTGGTGTTCTAAGGAAAAGGCTGCCATGCTGGAGATCCATCATCTCTCCCTTCAATTTATCTTCCATGACATCAACAAGAGCAAGTTCATCTGCCAAGTCCTAAAAGACATAAAATTTTTAGTTAAATGGGAGACTGTCATTTCAAGATTTTTTGAATGAAAAATTTCTCTTAATTCTGACACAGGAGAGTTCTGCTATTTTAGTATCAGTGTTAGTTCAGGATATACTTCAAAGTAGAGGCACACTGCCATTTTTTTAAGCTGACTCACAGATGGTCTATACATAGCACTATCTCCTCTCTGAACCAACCTCTGCAGAAGTGCTACCACTGCTAGTATGGAAATAGAACAATCAGTAGTCATAAAACTGCAACTACCTCCAATAACACTGCTTTCTAATTATGAAAAACTGCTTTATTTTCTATCCCAAATTCAGTTTTACATTGAATTTGCTAGTCATTAAATAGGTGATATGGACTAGTAACAACACTTGGTGCACACTTGTATTCCTAGCAGCTTGGGAAGTTGGGAGGCTGAGAGGCTGAGGCAAGAGGATCACAAGTTCAAAGCCAGTCTCAGCAACTTAGCGAGACCTTGTCTCAAAATAAAAACAAAAATGGCTGGGAATGTGGCTCAGTGGTAAAGTGCCCCTGGGTTCAATCCTTGGTCCCCCCCTACCACCACCATAAAAAAAGTGATAGTCTGAGTAATTCTCTGGTTGTTTTTCATATCTGAACCAATACTTACAGTTTTGCACAAAGATAAGACTTGTGCCTTGCATAATATTGGTAAAAAGTATCCTTACAACTGAACCTATAAAAATTCATAGGTGCATCTTAGACCAGGAGCACCAACAACAGTTACCTTCAAATCATCTACAGCACAAGTGGTCAGTGGGTACTCTTACCCAAACCTGAATCAGAGGCCAAGAAAAAGACCACAGGTGGTTCATACATATAGGGAAAACAGCATCAATTTCTGATCAAGTGGGTAAGGAATAAGAGTTGGTGTGTTATGTGGCTTCTTCTAAGAACAAATACAGAGGGGCTGGGGTTGTAGCTCAGCGGTAGTGTGCTCGCCTAGCATGTGTGTGCGCGAGGGCTTGGGTTTGATCCTCAGCACAACATAAAAACAAATAAATTACGATCTCTGCACAGCTCATTTCTGCCTTCAGTCCCTTCTTCCTTCAATCCATTAATGTTCAGAATACAGAAGTCATATTTTACTCTTATAAACCTGAAGTGCTTCAATTATTTTTTATATAAATCAGGTTTGAACACTGTAAAGTGTGTTCTTTACTCACAAATTCTTTTTCTAATTTTTAGTCCCATAATTGATAACAAAATTGTTAAACAAAGGTGGTGGTGTGGTGGTGTTTCCCATGTGATTCTCCTTTGCTAGCAAGGCAATAAACCTTCTTTTTCCTTTTTCTCAAAACCATGTCCTTGTTATTAGAGTGGCATCAGGGACAAGGACCAAGCTTTTAGCAATACACTCTCTCCCTAAGAGTGTCCCTTTTCCTTTTCCTATCCCTATCTCTTCTAATAAACTCATGCCTGTTTTAAAAAAAAAAAAAAAAATTCCCATAGGATGATTTTAATTTTACCATATGTAACTGTTATTTTCAATTCAAAAATTACTTTAAGAGAGTCTGACTCATTTAAAGGCATGAACTCTTCCTTTTATTTAGATATATAATAAATTTTAGAAAACGTAACCTTTGACACTTTTTATTTCAGATAACACTGTTGATACCTCACCATGTTTCAAAGATTGTTTCACATTAGGTTCCTTGAATGAGTGCATGAACCTTCATATTTTAATGTACAGTGACAATCCAATTATTGGGGAGGGTGGAGGACAGGATGGAGCCAAGGCATCAGCTTCCAGAGTGATGGACTCTCACTTACCTTCATTAAGATACTGATGGCACAGGCCATGCCAACAGCACCAACCCCAACAACTGTAATCTTATTCTGGGGGACCTGTTCTTCCTTAAGAAGATTCACAATCAGCTGATCCTTGAGACTTGCCATCTTGGACTTGGAACCAAAAGGAATCTATAGGGGAGAAACAATGTCACTGCATCCTCTTGAAATATTGTTTACTTACCAAGAGCTGTTCTTGAAAAAGGCTTACTTTACTTTCTTTTGGGAATTTGCCACTGAAATTCACAAGAGATGACTAAAAATGGAGAGGGAAAAACCTAAAGGTGGCAAAAAGGGTTTAAAAGTCTAATGCCAGGGTTTGGTCTGACCAGGGTCTGATGTGAAGGACCTCACCTTGGCATGAAAAAATAATATCGAAGTTTGGGTGTAAGTATAGCCTCCTGAGGGATCACTCATCTTGGCTTATTAGCCCTTGGAAGGGAAGGCCGCTCTTCAGACAAAATCAGTGAGCCACCCACACTGGGCAGCTATCTTTCGGCCACTCAGGACCCTAAAGCAAGTACAGCGCAAAGCCCCAACTAAGGACCAAAAGTACAAGCAGAAATCGCCACTAACGGCCACAAGCACAACCCAAAAGCAAAGGAACGTGCTGTGAGGTCGGCGCCTGCGCACACTGCACACTTGCTTGCTTTCCACCCCACGTGGCACAAGGGTTTACGCCCCGCCCAGATCCGGAAGATCCCGACCCAGGAAACTTGTGCAAGTGCGCATGCGCCTTTGCTTTACGGAGGTTGCGGGGTGAGGTAGAGAAAGCAGCGGCTTGGTGGCTGTGTGCCATTAATAGGCAGTAGGCTGGACTGTGGACGCTGGGTGGTGGAGAGGGTAAGCCCCACCGGCCCAGCCCTCAAGTAAGTGTAGGCTATCTGCAACCATTCAGTTGTGTGGGTCAGGGGGAGCATGCTCCAGTCAGACTTTAGACCTTACTAATGCCCTGAAGCACATGTGAACAACGTGAAGCTGGGTTGGCAGCCTCCCGGACCTGGCGGTTAGCCAGTCACACTTAAAATCACAATACCAGGGACTAGCGTCTGTTAACCAAGCAGGAGGGAGGAGCCACGTGTAGCTTCAGCCGTGGTCCGGTTGCAAAGTCATGAGGCCCGGTATGAGGAAATTTTGTCAGCACAGGAAGTGCAGAAATGGCTGCAGAGGGTTTGAAGCCCTAAAGTTAACAGGTACTTAGTGGAACCCTTGAATTCCAGAGCTTGGGGAGGGAATCTTCCACTCTGCCCATCCAACCCTGCACCGCACTCACTGGAGGGAATCACATGTTACATCCCCCCAAACACCACGCCTAGTTTTGACTCGGTCCTAAAGGGCAAAAATATCAGACAGGATCTCTAGGCAGGCAGCCCAGAGTCACCAAGATGGAATCGGGTCTCAAATCACTGCTATTTCTAGATAGCCTTGCATGGTTTCTGCAACTTTTTGGCTAAAGGGAGGAATTCTCCTGCAAAGAACTGGCCTCACTGAAACCTTCAGTCTTCTGCTCCACAGCTCCCTTTTATGGTAGGGGCAAGACTATATCTAGGGACAAGAGCCTTGCAGAACGAGGATCTACCCTCTCCACCTCTGCCACTCACTCACTGTGACCTTAGAGATGCCCTCTCTCCCAACTCTAGGTTTTCCCCTTTGCCAAAAAGAGATGGTACACGCGATACTATTCTCGTTAGACCCGTCTGAGGTGCAGAAGTAATGCAACTCTGCCTGCTTCATCTTTGCACGCACCTCGCTTAGTACAGCCTCTGATCCCCCAGCAACTTAATAAATATCACTTACGCAAAGAGCACCCTATAGTCTAAAGGCGACAGCAATCCCCATAGACTCCACCTCTCCAGCGTCCCAGGGCAAAAATTCAAATCGCGCAGCACTCAGGGTTTCTCCGGCATCCAGGAACCCTTCCCCAGACGTACTAAGGCTTTAGGGATAGCCTTAGCTCCCAAAACCGGACCACAAGTTTTGCGTTGTTCGCTAACTTCAAACCCGAAGGCATCCTCCACCCTCAGATCTATGATCTCCTGTTCTTCCTCATCCACCCGGAATATCAACCTTGGGTTGGGTGGCGTCACTCGCTCTGCTACCCAGCGAGGCCAGAGGCCAGAGATGCCGCTTAGGGCAAAAGCCTAGAGTGGTGGACGCCAAGCCCATGCATGGTAGGCCACCGCCCACGTCTTCTGGGAAGCGGCGCCTCTCCCCGACAACAGGGACCCCTTCGCGGGCAGCGTGGGCCAGCGGAGCCAAAAGCAACTGCTCTCCCTCCCCTCCGGGTGCAGAGTATCCGGGGTTGGCCGTACCAGGAGTGCACGTTGAGAAGGCGTCGGGGGTGCGCAGCAATAGAATCCGCACTCTGCAGCAGAGTCTCCGGCACTTAAGGCTGGGCGCGGGAGGGGCCTTAAATGGAACCTCGAAGCTGACGTCAGGAGTGGAGCCAGGCGGACGTGCGGGAACCCACGTGTGGGTTGGGCTGGGGGCGGGCGCCCAGCCGGGCGGGGCAATGGAGAGGCCCTGGCGGCGCGCGCAACCGGACAGCGGACCCGCGGGCCAAACCACGTGCTCCAGGACATCTAAGGGAGTGCCCAAAGCCCCACGCTGCCTCTCCGGCCATGGGAGCCCGGGCGATATCCGTGAACCAGAGTCAGGCAGACCCTCAGCTTCCTCTTCCGTAAAATTTGCACGTTACTCTCAAGAAATCCCTGATCTGTTTCTTCATCGCTGTTTCCAAATGCCTGGGACAGCTTCTGGCGCTCCATAAACATTTGTTGAATGAAAGAAGGAAAATACCTAGCACAGCGTCAGTTTGTCCGACTGATGGAAAAGGACGTCTCCTTTTCCCCTACTGCCAAACCTTCCAAGTCCGAAACTCACAAGGGAGACTTTGCCTTTCTGGTCTTGCAAGGTGATTGAGGTCAAATTTACCTTCTTGTCTGCATCTTCCCATTGCCCCACCCCACGAGGATGAGTCCCAGCCATACCCAAGAACTGTTGGTGCTGCGTTTTATTTTAATATCTCTCCACCACCTTTCTCCATCCTCTGTAACCACTATTCTACCCGCTACGTATATGAGTTCAAATTTTTGCTTTTGAAACATTTTTACCTCTGCCTTTTTTCATGCTAGTGTTTTATCTGCCCCATTCATCTCTTCTTTGCAGGGTACCCATCTTCTAGTGTTCCCCCACTTTGGTATAATATGAAATATATTTGATAAAGCTCTAGAATTTCCTTAGTGATAAGAAAATCCAAGTGAATATAGGGTACTGTTAGACTTACCCCCTAACCTTCCGGAAAGTGGGTGGTGGCTGGAGATTAAGCTCTACAAAAGCTTTAAAAATTCTTCTGGGGAGTGAACTTGGCTTGCAGGCTTGCAGGCTTTCCGGCATGCTAGGCGAATGGTTTACCATTGAGCCACACCCCCAGCTCCGAAGTTTCTAAAAAGTCTTGAACATTGGAAGTGCTGGGAGGTTAGAGTGCCCAGAGAGGGCAAGGAAGCTGGGTACTTATACTTACACCACCATAACCTTGCCCTATGCATCTCTTCCATCTAATTTATCATCTGCATCATTTGTAATCTCTTTTATACCAAATCAGTTGAGGATATGGCTAGTGAAAGAGCACTTTTGCTAGCATGCACAGGCCCTGAGATCAATCCCCAGAACCATACATACATACATACATACATTTTAAAAAACTTAAAAAGTAAATTAGCCAGGCACAATGGCGCACGCCTGTAATCCCAGCAGCTTGGGAGGCTGAAGCAGGAGGATTGTGAGTTCAAAGCCACCCTCAGCAACTGCAAGACACTAAGCAATTCAGTGAGACCTTGTCTCTAAATAAAATACAAAATAGGTCTGGGGATGTAGCATCGTGGTCAAGTGCCCCTGAGTTTAATACCCGTTACCAAAAAAAAAAGTAAATTTAAAAATCAGTAAGGTGTTTTTCTAGGTTCTGGGAAGTGTCCAAGCAAATTATCAATCCTGAAATAGGGATATAGGGCATTCCCAACTTACAGCATGCTGGTCAGAAGTACAGGTCACAAACTACTACTTGCAATTAGGGTCAGAAGTAGAGGGAAGTCTTGTGGGATCAGATGCTATCTCTAGGTAATGTCAGATGAACTGAATTATAGAACACCTAATTGGTATTCACCAGAGAATTGCTTTGTGTGGGAGGGGTTGGAAAGCACATATCTGGTCATAGGATTGTTCTGAGTTGAGTGTGAACAGAGGAGAAAAAGGTTTTTCTTTATACCAACCCACCCATGCACCCACAGATTTGGTACCTCCCTCCTCTCAGCTCCCCCAGCACTAGTTATACATCCTTCCAAAAGATTCACAATAGAGAGGGATGGGGCTCTCCTCCCCTACCAGATGGTGAGCCCCTCCAGGTGGTGGATGGGCCTACTTCTTTCCTGCATTCTATGGCACCAACGGGAAGCTCAGTGCCATCTCTGAGAAAAAGTCGTAGTTGTAGGTTTCTTGGTTTTGAAAGTATAATTACCCCCAGCTCCAGGAAAGCAGGGTATCTCTCTAGGATGTTCCAACAGTGTTTTCATCACTCTAGGAGGCCCTGAGACCTGGGCTCCAGGTCCCTTGAGGACAAGATAGATTGTAACAGTATCTTTGGTTCCTCAGTCTTTGCAACAATGTCCTAATTCAGTCAGGGTGGGCCCTGCCTACCTGTAAACTGTGACCACAGTTGCTGGGAGGAGGCTGGTAGAAAAAAGAGAGTGGAATTACACTGAAAGATAGGTGAGAAATTTTACCTGGAGGTCAGGCAGCTCTGGGAGGTCCTGTGAAGACACACTAGGCTGCTCTGCTGAGAAAGTGCAGTTCTGGAACGCCACTACTAGGATACTTGTCAAGAGCCATCTTACCGCAAATGCTGATGTGCAGTCCATTCCTTTAGCAGACCAAGAAGACAGTTTTGTGGTGGGCACAATCAAGGGCACAATATTCCATTTTCAGGTGGTTTTCTCTGTGACTTCCAGTAATAGTCAGAAGCAGTAGGTGCAGACCAAATTATTCCAGCACCACACACATAATGTGCATGCTGTGGCCCACAGCCTAACTACGCTGATATCTGGAGGCCCTGGCAAGACTTTTAATATAGCAATTTTTTAAATATTTTAAAATAATTTTGTGAGATTTTGTGGGGTTATGTGGGGGTTCTGTTTCCCCCTTTTTTAATTTTTTAAATTGTAGAAAAAAGCTGGGCATGGTGGCACATGCCTGTAATCCCAGCGGCTTGGAGGCTGAGACAGGAGGATTGAGAGTTCAAAGCCAGTTTCAGCAACAGCAAGGCACTCAACAACTCAGTGAGACCCTGTCTCTAAATAAAACACAAAATAGGGCTGGGGATGTGGCTCAGTGGCCAAATGATCCTGAGTTCAATTCCAGTACCCCGCCAAAAAATTATAGAAAAAGTTGATATAAGCATCATTAGCCTTAAATTGTAGAGAATGGCCCAACGCTGTAAAGGTATTTAAACAGTAAGAAATGACTTAATAAACATTTTTTAATATCTTTATTTTATTTATTTATTTTGATGTGGTGCTAAGGATCGAACCCAGGGCCTCACACCTGCTAGGCAAGCACTCTACTGCTGAGCCACAATCCCAGCCCCCTTAATAAACATTTTTATATATAATTTTTTAATCAATGAGTCTTCATTCCCCTAAATTAAGATACCCAACCACAGTTCAGTACAAGGGCAGCATCCCTCCTCTTATGCAAACAACTGCTATTTGACTCCACAAACAAATAAACAAATACCATTTGCTAAGCACCCCTTAATGTATCAGGACGCAAGCCAGGCAATCTCCATACTCCTCTTCCTCTTAATTCTTTGAAGTAGCCACAACTATTCTCATTTTCCAGATAAAGAAACCAAGGCTCAGAGAAAATCCTGATTTTGCCAAGACTGTGCCAACTACTAAATGATTTGGGCTGGAACTTTAAACCAGGGCTGACTGACTACAAAGCCTATGGCTTAGGGGTGAGGGTTTTTGTTTGTTTATATGTTAGGTTTTGTTGTTGTTATTGTTGTGTTGTGTTTAATGGTCTATGGAGGTCACTGAAGTTTTTGGAGAATGGGAGAGAAAGGATGAAAGCAGGATGATTGAGAGGTCATGGAAAGTAGGACGTCTTTTTTGTGATAGTACCCAGCATATATATACGTGATGTGCAAAACTTAATTAGCTCCAGCTGCACCTGTACAGAACATACACTGCACTGACTCAGTGCTCCCTGGTCCATAGCCCCTCTGAACACTCACAGTCAGCCTGGCCTATTTCACCTTTTTTTTTTTGGCTACAAAGCCTATGGGTTTTCTGAGTTGCAAGACCCAAGATGCAGTAACCTCATTCCCTCTGTCCTTGACAGACCAGGGTGTGCTGTGTACGTGCCAAAGTACAGGTTTCTCTCTCTGGTAAGAGAGCAGCATCTGTTCCTGGAAAACTACTTTATGTCACCTTCACCCCAACACCCACCCCCAATTCATCCATCCCTCAGATGATGGGTATGAGGCCAGAAGCCTCCACCCAAACCGCTTGAACTCTCCTGGTAACATCTCTGGGTACCCTGCTACCTCCCCTCTTCCCCTTCTGCTCCGCCAGGCAGGGCACATCCTCAGGTGCTAGATGTTGCCTGCTTCCCTTTGGGGCTAGAACTTTCTCGAGAGTTCATTCACCATTCCTTAAGAGAATTCATCTCAGATTCCCTCCCAGAAGCTTCCTACCCCAGAAAAGTAGTAATCGCTGTGCCCTTTCCTCTCCATCCTTTCCTGGGAATACTGGATCTCACACTTTCCATCCCATTGACAGGTTCCCAGGCAAAGACTGTTACCAGAACATAGTGACTTCCAAACTGAGGACCCCTGAAATCAGTGCTACAGAGGGAGTCCTAAGGCCCTTTCAATGCTCAGTGTGGGCCCCATATCAGAGAGTGTTCCTTGTCTGATCACAGCAGGGGAAGACCATGGAAAACTGTAACAGCCTTTTTTTTTTTTTTTTTCCTGACACTTTGGGTAGTGAGACAGTTGATGGGCATGGTTTAACAAAGAATAGCAGGCAGCTTGATGGAGAAGGGACACTGACCTGGGGTCAGGAGACCTAGGATCTTGCCCCAGCTTTGTCATGGATCCCTGGGTAACATTGCGGCAGTCACATTGCCTATGTAGCCTCACTAGTATACAAAAAGGGGTCTCTTTCCTTCTAATTCTAACCTGCAAAAAGGCTCCAAGTCTATGAGTCAAGCCTCCACACTCACCTTCATTTCTAAAATTGCTCAGGACTTACAGGCAAAGTTGTGCGCATTTTGGAAAATGGTCAGGGGTATTCCTGGGAATAGTGGGAAACAATCAAAGGACTGTCCCCACTCACAGCCACATGAACCTATGCCTGTCATCTTCTTGTTCCCCACATTAATTCTAAAACAGTTTCCAAAATTCCAAAGAC